CTTATAACATCTCCTCTTTGGGTTGTCAACACAAGAATGAAGTTAGAAAAAAATAATTACACCAGTCTTGTTGAAGGTCTACGTGATGTTTATAAAAAAGAAGGTATGCATGGGCTTTGGTCTGGTACAGTACCATCACTGCTTTTAGTTTTTAATCCAGCCATTCAATTCATGGTTTATGAAGCATTGAAAAGAAAATTAATGTCTGCTGGTTATTCTGACAACTATGCAGCATTTTTGGTTGGTGCTATAGCAAAGGTTATTGCAACAAACTTAACTTATCCACTACAGTTGATTCAATCTAGACTCCGTGCTGGCACTAGTTTAAAACCATTGTTTAGAGATATGAAATCTAAACCAACTACTATATTTCGTGGTTTAGAAGCAAAACTGTTACAGACTGTGATTAATGTTTGTTATTTTTGCAGCATTAAGTTTTGTTATTTATGAAAAGCTTGTACGATTAGTAATGACTATAATGAGAGTCAAAATGTCAAAAAAACATTGAACAATTTAAAATTGTGAACAGTCATTAAATATCATATTTTTAATATATTATTGACACTGTAACAGCCAATCTAATGTGATTACAAATTCATTAAGTTTAAGTCGAAAATATGATGAAACAATCTAAATGTATTATGGAGTTGGTGTATTTATAATGTATGTTGACGCTCGTGTGTGTGTGTGTGTTAATAGTGGAGCGGGTTCGCTGACGGGATGTTGACTGGAGAGAGTACAGTAACATTGGGATGAGCAATGACAACACTTCTTGAGAGTTTCTTTTATTTATTTTCTTGTTGTTATTTCTTACACTTGTAGTGGTAGAGCCACGCCGCAGCTTTGCTGTTGCACGTATGGGCCGGCTCAAAACGGGGTGGTACCACGACCTCACAGAATACCGGCGTGAAGTGGAAGCTCTGCTTCCGCGTTTGCGTCTGGTGAGTGCAGGTGGCTGGAGGCCCAAATCCCCCCCCCCCATCAACATGGTAGCGGAATTAAATGATGATAGACTAACCCAGGAGGGTACCAGCACCCCTGGAGAATCCCTCGCTGAGCATCCACGACCATGTTTCTCCACTTCTGAGCGTGGGTGCTCAGGCCGCCCCGCATATTTTGGGGGGGTTGCAAAATTCCGCTCAAGACTACAACTGGTCGGGGCAAACAGAGCAACAAGACCAAGGCGACCCCTGCCACGCTGTCCGTGAATTTCTGCAATATCAGGGGACTTCACTCTAAGCTAAACGCCGTCCACTACCATCTCGAGACGGCGAGGCCGGCTCTGCTCTTTCTGACCGAGACGCAGGTGTCCTCTCCGGCTGATGTCTCGTATCTTTCCTACCCGGGGTACAAACTGGAACACTCCTTTGTGCATCGGGCTGGAGTTTGCGTTTACGTCAGAGAGGACATCTGTTCTCGACGCCTCGGCAGACTTGAGGGTTCGGACCTGTCCATTATTTGGCTACGCGTAGACAGCGACGACCATCCGCGCGTCTACGGGTGCCTCTATAGGTCCCATAGCGGTAATGCCGAAACAGACCGACTCTTCGAACACGTCCAAATGGCTAGAGATTCGTTGCTGCAGCAGATTCCCTCCGCAGAGATCGTGATCCTCGGCGACTTTAACGCCCATCACGCCGAATGGCTTGGTTCACGTTTAACCGATCATTCGGGGAGATCTGTTCATGATTTTGCCTTGGCATATGGTCTGGCACAACTGGTTACTTCGCCTACGCAGATTCCAGATGTGGAGGATCATGCACCTTCCCTGTTGGACCTTCTGCTGACCTCTCACCGGGACGAATATCAGATTTCCGTCGACGCCCCTTTAGGCTCCTCGGACCATTGTCTTGTTCGGAGTGTGGTGCCACTCACGCTGAAATCGCAGTTGCATTCTGCAGGCTGCCGCCGTGTTTGGCACTATAGGTCAGCCGATTGGGATAGCATGCGGTCTTTCTTTGCATCCTACCCTTGGGGGCGGGTTTGCTTCTCGCCGGACGATCCCAACGTTGTTGCGGATTCTGTCGCTGATGTTGTACTTCAGGGTATGGAACTTTTTATTCCTTCCTCCATGGTGCCCATTGGAGGCAAATCTCAGCCATGGTTTGGTCGCTCCTGTACATCATGCTATGAGCAGGGGTGCTACCAAACCTGGGGTGACGCATCAGTGTCCCGGGATGTAAACACCTGCGCTCTAAAGAAGAAGTATAATTCTGCCTCTAGGTCCTTCAAAAGGGTCATTGCCAAGGCAAAGTCAGAGCACATAGGCAGAATTGGCGAGAAACTAGTTCGCCTGCCTTCTGGAACGCGTGCATTCTGATCTCTCGCCAAGGCTGTCCAGGGGAATTCCTGTCAGCCATCTTTTCCATCTCTGCACAGGGAGGACGACTCACGGGCCCATACCGCAAAGGAGGAAGCCGATCTTCTAGGCTTTTTCTTTGCGTCCAACTGCCGGCCTATCGCCATCACCTCCTTGTTCTCCAAAACTTGGAGATCTTCTGGTCTACCTAACTCACAGATGTGTGGAGGCAGTAGAGTCCAAGGGGGAGGCATTGGCCGTTAGTTTGGACATTGCGAAGTCCTTCGATCGGGTTTGGCACAAAGGGCTTCTTTCGAAGCTCCCTTCCTATGGGCTTCCCGAGAAATTGTGCGATTGGATCACCAGCTTTCTTGCAGATCGGAGCATCAAGTTCGTTGTAGACAGTGCAAGCTCCGATTGCAAGCCTATTAATGCTGGTGTTCCACAAGGCTGCGTGCTATCGCCAACGCTGTTTCTTCTGCATTTCAATAATATGTCGCAAACCCGTAACATTTATTGCTATGCAGATGACAGCACTGGTGGTGTTCTTTACACCGGCCGAGTCAATATTTCTCGGGAAAACGTCTCCGAGTGCCGGGACAAACTTGTGTCTGAAGTCGAGTCTTTGCTGAACAGAGTCTCGGATTGGGGGCGACTAAATCTAGTCCATTTTAACCCCCAGAAGACACAAGTTTGCCCGTTAACCGCTAAAAAGGACCTTGTTGTTTCAGCCAGTATCTGAATCCTCGGCGTCGACATATCGAGTGACGTGCAGTTTCGTGGTCACTTGGAAGAGAAGGCCAAATTGGCCTCTAAAAAGCTTGGCGTGCTCAGCAGAGCGGGACAGTATTTCATGCCAGCACACTGCCTGCAACTTTACAAGGCGCAGGTTCGCCGCACATGGAATACTGTTCCCGTCTTTGGGCTGGGGCTCCCCAGTACCAGCTGCTTCCACTTGACAGCATCCAACGCAGAGCGGCTCGAATCGTCGACGACCGAGTGCTTTACGATCGGCTCGATTCACTGGCACTATAACGAAAGATACGAGAATGCGAAGAGATGCAACATCTCTTTGCATTTTATTTCGTATATGCTATGGAGAGTGCTCTGAGGAATTGTTTGGATTAATCCCAGCCGCCAAATTTCGTGAACGCACTACGCGGTAAACGTTCCGATACCATCCACAACATCTGGATGCTTGGCGGTCCACCACTGTACGTTTCAAAACGAGTTTTCTTCCGCGTATAACCTCTCTGTGGAATAGTTTACCACTGGCGATTTTTCCGGACCGATACGACCTGGGGACCTTCAAGAAAAGAGCTTACTCCTTTCTAAAGGGCCTGCAATGCACCTGCAATTCCCCTGGTGTTGCGGTTGATCATGGGCGGCGATAGTCACTTAACATCAGGTGAGCCGCATGCTCGTTTGCCCCCTCTTCTTTAAAAAAAAACTTGCCGGATTCGGAATGTCTGACCACAAAAAACGACTCTTTTTTATAGGCGCCTCTGGCCAATCACCATTCTTAAATTTTGCTCACGGCACTAATGGATTCCCGACACCCAATCAGAGCGCGGGCGACTTTTTATATGGAAAACTTACAAATGCCTTTTATTTGTTGTAAAACATCCCTTACAAAATGTTTATACATTTCTGGTATTAGAACGAACTTATATTTATCATATTACACACTAAACATTCTTAAAAACCTTAATTTATATTTTAAAATAATAAAAATACTGAAGCGGTCTTCTTACAGTATAGCTCCCTAGTAGCTAAGCTTTTGCAGGCGTTAGCGCAAGCGCACGTAGCGCTACCAGGCGGCAGGAATGCACAATACTGATAACAACATCATGCTTGCTAATCCTAAAAACTATGCAGAGTATACTTAAATATCTTATTGACTAAGTCTTTCTTAACGTAGTTCTAAGTTACAATAAAAACAAAATTAAATAAGTAATTAATTCACATTTCGTTGCTAACATTCTTAACGTAGTTTTAGATTACAATAAGAACAAAATTAAAAGTTATTTAAAAAACAGCAACTGTTAATAAAAATTTTCTTAATTTATTAACGTTGCATGTAAGTAAATTATGTATGTCATTTTAATTTAATTTTTAATTTTAGATGCCTATTTTTACTTAAATATGGTTATTAAAACCTACAAACATGTTAAACTTGGCTTAATGATATTTACCCGTACAGAAAAGAGATGGCGTAGAAAACATTTATTTAATTTAAATCTACATTATACAATAATTAAAATTAGGTATAACAAAATTTATAAAAAGCCTATTTTTTGGTTTGCTAGACATTTTTTAAAACTATATTATCTACTTAATAATATAATCTAACTATCAAAAAGTTGCGCACTCCTGCTATTTCTAATAACCTTGCATTGGTTTTGTTTACATTTGGTATCGCTTCTCGTTGGCCGTAGTGTATGTTGTTTTCAATGCGAACACGGATAACAACAAATCTTAATATCAGTTGAACATTTTACAGTTTTTATGAGTGTGAAGTGCGAAATGTGCGACATCAACAAAACATGTTGTTTGATTTATTTTATGTGATTTCAAAACATTACGTGTTGGATGTTTTTCGGTGCAAACGTAGGGTAACATTTTCATGTGTAGATCGATTTAGTAAGAAATATTTTTTAGACATGGAAACACATTTTCTTTTTCTCTTTCTTTCTTCCGGTTGCCAACACAAGGCAAGGTGGGTGTCGTGATTTTACCACATGGTTTTTGATCAGTAAATTGGTGTTTTAACCGATTTTAGAGTAATAGTTGTATTATTTCTGAAGCAAGGTAATAAAAACGTGTTAACAGTTAGTTTTATTGCATTTTATTCTCGGTACTTTAATGTTAGAGGTATCTACATGCTTGGTGGATCAGAATTTTCACATTATGATTTTCGTATTAAACTATTTTCTTAACAAATATTTTGAAAAACGACTTTATTAATTACACATAAAATCATTATTATTATAATTTAATAACAAGTTTTGCTATTTTCGTTTCACATAAATAATTGTAACACATCTATAACCTTACTTTTGGGGACATAAACGATTCCCTGAATGCAATTCTGAAATGATTATGTATATAGTTACTAATGGTGTTTTGTTTTATAGAGCTATTCAATTTACTCATATTATTAACGCAAAATTATACTAACAAGTAATTGTCAGGTTAACCTGATATATTTTTATATATTATTTTAAATTATTCAGATCAATTTTCTTTCTGTGAAGTACATATTTTAAAAACCAATTTACATCAAACATTTATCACATCTTTTGTACTTTTGCCATCGCTAGAGACGAGTAGTAATGCAGTGTTATTTATCAATTTCAGATGCGTTCCGTTACTCTGAAGGATGTTGAACAAGATAAGGTCGTGAAGACCGTAGCTGCTCATTTAAAAAAGTAAACTTAGTTTTATTTTATTTAATATACATATAAACAGTTATCATAATTCAAATACTACAATTTATTTTATGTTTGAACTTTGTTTACTATTTAATAAATATTTTCAAGGACCGGTAAAGTTAAGGTGCCAGAACACATGGACCTGGTGAAGACTGGTCGGTTTAAGGAATTGGCACCCTATGATCCAGATTGGTTCTATGTCCGTTGTGCTGCTGTTCTACGTCATATTTATATCCGCTCGCCTGTTGGAGTAAAGACTGTCACCAAAATTTTTGGAGGCCGTAAACGCAATGGGGTCACACCATCTCATTTCTGCAGGTAATATTATATAAAGCACTTATTAAATACTATAATCTTAAAATATTTTGTTACAAATGTACAGCCACAATTATTATCAGGTTTGGTTGAAGTTTAGAGTCCATTGTCAAAGTATGATATATTGGTAAGATAAGATAACACATAACATATTATATAGGATGAATTTAGAGGATGTCCTTTTTTTGTAATTATTCAGAAGACATTCTGGTCGTTATTCCTTAGTGTACTAACCATTTAAATATCCAAGCAGCGTGAGTGATTCTCGCCGCACCTGTCCATGTATAAAATGTCACTTTCTTTTTTACGACCACATGAGACACTAAATAAAAATGAATACTTCTGAAAACCACTATATCTACATTCAAATAAAAAATTGTCACAAAAAGTTTAAAAAATTCAGAAATTAATTTTGTTTAAGCAAAATTGCTCAAATTAAAAAATGAAGAGTATCAAAAATATTATCATATTTATTTTTTATTTCGAGTTTTACAAGTTAATTATAATAGTTACTGAAGACAATTATTTTATATTATAATAGTACATTATATACCCTTTAAAATAACACCAATATCTCAATGTTATTTACTCGGTATAGATAAATGTATAATATTTACTCAATATAAATATTCACTCCCCAATGCAATCATGAGTTGCGTTTTACAAATTTCTAGACAAATCTCAACATATTTCTTTTATAAATGGCTATTAACATGTTAGTAGTGAAGTATTCTTTTATATTTAGCATTTATTTCAAAAACAACTAATTAGAATACATTTAAAAAAAATGTGTAATCAAAAAATGATGATCGCTTATAGTGATTAAAATTTCAAGCTAAATTATTATATGTAAACATTTTAAAACTGTCGTAATGATACATATTTCCTAATGGAAATATCTTCACAATTAATTTGATGTACAATTACATTAGTAATAATAGAGGAAGGAATAGAGTGCACTATCGTTGTTGGTTTTTTTGTTTCAATTGCACAAGCACTAGTATACACTTGGGCACTATAGTCCTGTTCCGCCCAGCTGTTACCGAAAATTGTTTGGAGGACATTTTTAAGTGCAGGAAGTTGCAGGCCGAATGCCTTTACTTCCCCTTAATATAGTAGCGGAATTAAAGTTCTTATTTAATCTTTTCTCTGAGTGTGTGTTCATATTCTGAAGGGAGGCGGCGAAATTCTTCACAATACCTAATGCTGCTCAGGGTAAGCAAAGCAACACAACCTAGGGGACCTCTGCCACGCTAGCTGTGAATTTCTGCAACATAAGGTGTCTTCACTCAAACCTTAACATTGTTCACTATCATCCAAAGAAAGTGATGTCTTTACTTTTGTCCTTTCCCTGGGGTACAAATCAGAACACTCTTTTGTGACTCTAGCTGCAGTTTGCAAATACGTCTGAGAGGATATTTGTGCTTAATGCATCAGCAGTCTGGTCCATCCTTTGGCTGCGCATAGGCAGTGAAAAACATATCTACGTGTACTTTTATAAGTCTCACAGGACACAGACCAACTCATTTACCATGTCCAAATGGCTACAAACTTTGTGCTGAGAAGCTGTGCTCTATAGTTGCCACTGGTAGGCATGGGCGTTTTTGGATTTGAACGCAAACCAATATTTTTCAGATTTCAAAATCCGTTTTTAAAAATCCGATTTCAGTATCGCTTAGCCACGCCAATTCGTTTGCGTAATTAGATTTCGTTTTATAAGTTAACAAAACGACAAACGCAAATCTTAACTAATACAGAAACAGATTTGCGAGATTATCCTTCATGCTTTAATCTAGGCTTAGGACTAGCAGAAAAATTTTGTATGAAATTAGAACTTTTCCGGTGCATTTAATAATCAGTATATTTACAATAATTTCTTATTATATTTTTTTTGGTTTCCTTTCGCTTTTTTATTTTTTTATTTCAGAATCTGTTTGGATTAAAATTTGCGTTTAAAAACGCAATTTGCTCCACTTTTGACGACTTTAGACGACACCTCTTTTTATTTATCATTAATCCCGTCTTTGAAAAAATTCGTTCACATGGAACGGATGTCGCGACAATATTGCATTTTGAGTGATATATTTCCGACAAATGCGGATAAATTATTTTATGATCAATAACTTACTCACTTAAAATGTACACTCACACACAATTCACTCCTGATTTTTAAACATTTTTATAAACTTTTTTCATATATTTACTAAACAAAAAGGTATTAAGGCAATATATATCAGTAAATAATATAATACAATACACTGTTACGACTGGCCGGCATGCAAGCAGTTGTCAGTCACCAGGATTAAATTTACATCTAAAGTCTAAAACATAACAACATGATAACAAAAAATTATTTTAAGTAAGCAAACACTTAACTAAAAACCAAAATAAATTATCACACAATCTCGCAAATATAGCCTTAAACGACTTAACAATAAGAATGATATTGATTGCACACTGAACCAAAAATTCAGCAACGCATAATCTCGCAAAGCCAATATAGACTTTACATACTAAGCAGTAAGGATAATATTGATCCCATATCTCAATGTGTAATAGATTTCGATATTCCATAGCCGGCAAACCGAAATCTGAATCATCGAGTGAGACACTGAAAAAAGGGATTTGGATTTCTATGCAGCAGTTTGCGTTTAGTTTTTAGTATTTTATTTTCGATTTGGATTGGTTTGGTTGTTCGTAAGAGTTTAGCTAGTTAGGTCGATTTTTGAAATCGGATTTTCTAGTTTGAGCAATCTATATGAATCGATTTGTGTTTGAAATCGGATTTTAGATTCGTTTTGATATATCCGACTCATGACTAGCCACTGGCTCTTATTCTTTCGGTGATCCTGCTCTTCATGTGTTGTCCTTAAATCATGGAAGACCGATTTCGTGGTTGTGATCCGTTAACTTCTCAACCCCCTAGCGGTCTCATGAGACCGCGGCCATATTCCGTCGTATCCCTAGCGATCTCATGAGGTCGCACCCACCCACAGCACTATAACCTATAAAAACTTATGTATAGAGACTACTTTTCTGTGAAGAAGTTTGGCATTATATAATGAATATAAAATACTCTATCCTCTAGGGCAATAAAAAAACTGTTATCCTATGAATATTTATTTATAATATATGTTCATTTCGTAAGCCATTTTCGTTCATTTCGTAAGCCCATTTTCGCGTGAATTTTATTGTGTTGATTTTTGTATTTTCTAGTGTTTTATTAGTGTTTTAGTATAGTATTTTATTATAAAATTATAAAATATTATAAAAATGTAATGAAAGTTGTGAATATAATTTCTTTTTACATAAATATTTCCAGTAATATTATTGAAATCCTGCCCCTTGGTATATTTTTTTGTTATACATGAAATCTTTTTGTAATGAAGTAAAACCTTATTTTTGTTTAGACCACAAGGTAGAGAATTTTGTATAGATTTTATAATGCTTAACTTCTTCATAGAAAAGTAGTCTCTAAATATAAGTTTTAATGGTTTAAGTGATGTGGGTGGGTGCGGTCGCATGCGACCGCTCGGGGTTTGCCGGGCGCATGCGACTGCTTGGGATTTTTTATGGCGCCTGAAGGGTTAAAAAAGGTAACCCCTCTAATCCGTCTAACTACGGGCCTGTCGCCATCACCTCTTTGTTCTCTAAAATAATGGAATCGATTATTTACTGTCAATTTATAAAATACCTCAAGAAGCACCAGCTAATTAGTAACCGCTAGCACACTTTCCATCGGAGTCGCTTGACGGGTAATCTAATTGTTTACCCTAACACATTGATGGCTGCACGCAGTCAAGTCCAAGGGGGTGGTCTTGGCAGTTAGTTTGGACATAGCAAATTCCTTCATTCGGGTTTGGCACAAAATGCCTTTTTCTAAGCTTCTTATGGGCTTTCCGAGAAATCATGCAATTGGGTAAGTTTTCTCACTGATTGTATTTAATGCTGGTTGTCGATGGTGCATTCTCAAACTCCAATCTTGTGAGTGCTGGTGTTTTCCACAGGGTGCATGCTAATCCTTCCCTGTTCCTTCTTCATAGCAATGGTATATTGCAAATTGGTATCATTCAATGCTATGCAGTACTGGTTATTCTTTAAACACCAGCCTATCATTGAATGTCGGAATAAACCTATATCTGAAGTCAAGTCTTTATTTAACAAAGTATCAGATTAAGGGTGACTAAATTTAGTCCAATTCAATCCCCAGAAGACATTGGATTGCACATTTATCGCTAAAAAGAACGCCTTTTTTTATGTGATAGAATGACAAACGAGCAGACATTCCACCTGATGGTAAGTGGTTGCTGTGGCCCTTAGACATCTACATTTATCCTCGATTACGAATCAAAATGCAGATGCATTGTCATCCGTGAGGACTTAGGTGGAATGCCTCGTTTCCAGTAAAAAGGGTCTCCGGTTCTCTACACTCACTGGTATTCTATGAGAGCGTGGTCCTTCCCCAGTCGAGCCGGCCCATTCGTGCTACAACTATACTACTAATATAACTGCAGCATAGCTCTACCACGTAAAATCGTTGTCGTATCTCCTCAATTTCAGGGTACACCCTTTGTTGCCTCAGCTAGCATCGGAATAATCGGCGCCGACATATCGAATGACATTGAGTTCTGCAGTCACCTTGAAGTTAAGGCCAAATTGGCCTCTAAAACACTAGGTGTGTCCAGCAGAGCAGGGCAGTAATTCATGCCGACACACCACTTGCAACTTTTCAAGGCACAAGTTCGGTCTCACATGGAATGCTGATGTCGTCCCTGGGTCAGGGCCCCCCAATGCCAGCTCTTTTCACTTGAATGCATCCAGTGCATAGCGGCTTGAACCATTGAAGACTGAGTTCATTCTGATCAGTATTGACTCACTGCGGCTGCAAAGAGATGTTGCATTTCTTTGCATTTTCTATCGCATTTACAAAGAGTGCTCTGGGGAATTGTTCTTACTAATTCCAACTGCTAAATTTTATCATAGCGTATCACGATAAACCTTGTGTGTTGGTTTCCAACCCTTTCCGTAGTTATGGTAAAATATTAGATCTCCGCCCTGTTTCCGTGAAGCGTATTTTTTTGCGGCTCGATCCACTCCGCCTAGTGGTCGCTTTGCATAACGGGCTGAGGGGATTGTTTTTGAGTAGCATCTTTGGAATAAAGGCAACATTCAATGTTTCCTTTATTCACAAAATATGGTAAAATATTACATGGCAACACAAGCTCATATAACTTTTTTTTGCAGATCATCAGGAAGCATTGCACGAAAGGCATTGCAAGCACTTGAAGCTCTTAAATTGGTAGAGAAAGTCCCTGATGGTGGCCGCATTCTCACATTTCAAGGCAGACGGGATTTAGACAGAATCGCCGCACAAGTCCGCCAAAAAGCGAAACAGCAAGCTAAGCAGAGTGTGATTGTACTGTAATTTTATGAGTAATAAAATTTAAAAAACAAATCACAAAGTTGATTTTCATCTTATTCTATTATGGACCAAGCTCTCTTCAAGTACCATTTACTTTGTGTTTATTATTACTTTGAAGCTTTGAACTATCCTATTACTATTAATTCATTAATATTTTTAACCCTTGAAGCTGGATTTTTTCTCACTACAGTCCACCTGATGTTAAATGGCTACTGTAGACCATGGAGATCTGCCACCAACTTCATACAACTATAAGAAGGCTGCAGATGTGTTGTAACCTCTGAGAAAAGATGAGATTCCTCACAGCCTGCATTAATTATACTGGCGCTATACATACTGTAACAAAGTATTGCATGCACTTTTAAAACCAAGATCTGACAGAACTAACTCGAAATCATGTACTCTACTTACCTGACTACTGTTGGCTAGGTTAGATATGTAAATAAAGTAACAAATTTTCAACGAAACTACAGGCAATTGTGCAAAGTGCAATAATGTAAGGTTATATTAAATTGTTTGATTTCTTTTGTAAAAAAAACTTTACCCCACATTAGGATTTTCTCTTGCATCATGGAGGCAGTTAACATTCATATATTGTACAAGGATAAACATTCAGACCCTGAGCAATTGTAGGCCACATAAAATACTTGTTCTGACTTGAAATGTCGACTCGAAGGATTCTGAGGCTGGGGACAAAGGGGTTCTTTTTTGTGGTGAACATGCAAACATGTCTTGCGAGGTTCAACTGGACTAGGTAGATTTCGAAAAACTACTTCGTAAGTAGGTAGATAAGTATAGACTAACTCAAAATACTAAGACCTGGAGAGGGAGTGGTGGGAGGCCTGCTGTACACGGAAAAGGGTCACAGCAGGGCTGTAAAAAGTACCGTGGTACAAGCGTGCTTAGCATTGTGGGTAAACTGTATGCTAAGGTGTTAAGTGAAAGAGTTATGAAAGAAATTGATGGAAAAAAATATGATGAACAAGCTGGATTTAGAAAGAGAGTGGGGTGTATGGATCAAGTGTTTCCATGCGCATAATCGCGGAGAAGTTTTAGGCCAAAAACCTGAAAGTCTTTTGAGCGTTCATGGACTTGGAAAAGGCTTATAACATAGTGGAAAGGGATGTTTTATGGCAAACACTGATCTTATTTTTGTTGGGTTGATACAGACATTGAGGTTTCTTTTTAGGGACTGTGGTGCCTGTGTCAGGATCAACAGGGCCTACTCGGACTGTTTGGCATCCATAAAGCGGTCAGACAGGGTTGTGTAGCGTCCTTGTTGCTGTTCAACCTGGTAATGTACAGTTATTTGGAAACTTTGAAAGTTAAAGAATGAGGTTTAAGAATGGGTGAGTTTACCGTCAAATGCCTTTTGTACGCCGATGATCAAGTCATATTTGCATCGTGGGTGGCCGGGTTGAAAATGATGGTTACATTAATGAACAGATCATTAAAAGAAAGGGGAAGGAAAGAGGGGTAAACTATAGACGTCCTGTACTCGCGTACGGTGTTGGGAGGGGTAGGGGAGGGGGTCATGGGAAGCCCGCCCTACCTTCCCCCGTTGCGGACATGTATAGTTTGAGTAATAAATTTTTGTAAAATTATACTTCACTTTTTTACAGGAATATACAAAAGTTACTTATGCAACGGCCGTACGGTGTTGGGGGGGGGGTCGGGGAAGCACCCCTACCCTTCCCCCGTTGCGGAAATGTTTATGAGTAATAATTTTTTTATTTATAGATAGCGAATTATTCTGCAGGTGCACGGAGGCAGCCCCTTCGCCTTCATGTTAATCAGGTACATGTTGCCTCCGCAGCTTTGGCTTTTTGGTCGCCTTCGGACCAGCCTCAGCCGCAACGGCTCACTTAGGTGATTTGCTACAGCGGGCGGGGGCTGCTCTCCCTCCGCACTCTACGGCTTCACAAGAGTTTATCTGTGTTAAGAAAACAAATTGATATATTTGCGTTTCGTTATTGCAATTTTAGTGAAATTTGTTTTTATAGTAATTAATTCAAAAGGCATTTCTGAAATCTAAAAATAGTGTAAATGGTTCAAGCTTAACCCTGACAATCTTCTTAAATTGAAAACAAAATTAAAAATCAAGTACCGGACATCTACTTTAAATACGAAAACAAATTGACATAATAATATAATAAAAATAAACACATTGAGATGGAAGGAATACTTTGAAAGCGTGTTTATGAATGAAGAGTCGTCTGAATTAAATGAACTAGAAATTCCGAAAGTAGTGGAAAGGGGTATGGAGATAAGTGTAGATGAAATAATGAAAGCAGGTAAGGTAGCTGGATATGATAGAGTATCACTTGAGATGCTAAGGGCTGGAGAGGGAGTGGTGGCAGGCCTGCTGTACACCTTGTTTAATTTATGTTGGGAATTAAAACGGGTACCGGATGACTGGTGTAAAGTAGTTATAGTACCAATATATAAAGGAAAAGGGTCACAGCAGGACTGCAAAAACTACCGTGGTATCAGCTTGCTTAGTATTGTGGGTAAACTGTATGCTAAGGTGTTAATTGAAAGAGTTATGAAAGAAACTGATTGAAAAATTTGGGATGTGCAAGCGGGTTTTAGAAAGGGAATGGGATGTACAGATCAAGTCTTTTCCATGCGCATGATTGCGGAGAAGTTTTTGGCCAAAAACCAGAAAGTTTTTTGTGCGTTCATGGACTTGGAAAAGGCTTATGACAGAGTGGACAGGAATGTGTTATGGCAAACACTGAACTCATATGGGTTGAGCGCTGGTTTGATACAGGCATTAAGGTCTCTTTATAGGAACTCTAGTGCTTGTGTCAGGATCAATGGGGTCTACTCGGACTGGTTTGGCATCCAAAAAGGTGTCACACAGGGCTGTGTAGCTTCCCCTTGGCTGTTCAACCTATTTATGGACAGGTGTTTGCAAACTTTGAAAGATGAAGAATGTGGGTTAAGAATGGGCGAGTTAACCGTCAAATGCCTTCTGTATGCCGATGATCAAGTCATATTTGCGTCATCGGCGGCTGAGTTGCAAATGATGGTTACATTAATGAACTGGGAATTAAAAGAAAGGGGAATGAAAGTGAATGCAAGTAAGACGAAAGTGATGGTTTTTGAAAGAGAAGAAAGCAAAACGGTATGTGAAATAAGAATAGAAGGAGAGTTAATTGAGCAAGTGGATGAGTTTGTGTATTTGGGATGTGTATTTAGCAGGGATGGTAGATATGATAGGGATATAGAATGACGAGTAAATGCAGGGAATAGAGTGAATGGGGCACTACACTCTATTATGAAGAACCAGAATGTGTCAAAAGAGGCACGTATGGTAATTCATAATGCTGTGTTAGTCCCTACTTTAATGTATAGTAGTGAAACCTGGGTGTGGCAGAAGAAGCACGAAAGTAAAATAAATGCTGTCGAAATGCGGTCTTTAAGGAATATACTAGGGTTGAATTTGAATGACAGGGTGAGAAATTGCGTGATAAGAGATAAATGTGGTATGCAAGATGATGTTGTGACCAGGATTAAGAAAGGAATGCTCCGGTGGTTTGGTCATGTAGAAAGAATGAATGACGAAAGAGTGACAAAGCAAATTTATATGGCAGATGTGAATGGCCGAGTCAGGAAGGAACGCCCTAGAAAAAAGTTTATCGACCAAATTGGCGATATTTTGAAAATGGGCCACGTTAGAAGTACCCTTAAACGACGAGCATGTATGCGTAGATATATGGATGTAAAGGAGGCGAAAGAGGTATGTCAGGATCGTGCTAAATGGAAGTCCGTAGTCTCTGCCTACCCCTTTTGGGTGACAGGCGTGAGTGTTTATTTTTATATTATATTTCAATTGACATATTTGCGTTTCGTTGTTACGCAATTTTTAGTGAAATTTGTTTTTATCGTAATTAATTCAAAACGCATTTCCAACATCTAAAAACAGTGTAATAGGTTCAAGCTTAACCCTGCTAGACTAAAAACATTATCAAAATCCAGTACCGGATGTCTATAGTCAACCCTGAAAGAGAACGTATGGCAATCCACAATGCTGTTGGTCCCTACTTTAAACGTATAGTACTGTATGTTGGGTGTGGCAGAAGAAGCACGAGAGTAGAATAAATGTTGTAGAAATGCGGTCATTAAGGAGTATGTTAGCGCCAAATCTGAATGACAGGGTGAGAAATGGTGTAATAATAGAAAATTGTGGGTTGCAAGATGATATTCTAACCAGGATTAAGAAAGAAATGCTTCGATAGTTTGGTAATGTAGAAAGAATGAACGAGGAAATTATAGAAACTAGTTCGTAGCCTACCCCTCAGGGTTTCAGACGTGAGTGTTTGTGTTTATATTATTTATTTTATTTACCAATGCATCCGGTGCCCATAAGGGCCTGCGCTCATAGACGGCACGGCATGATACGGCGTGTCAAAGGATTTTTTCGTGGGAAAAGATTTTCGACGTTATTTTAAAGATCTTAGCACTGACATTACTTTATTTCAATACGAATAGACCGAAACGTCTCGTGTGACACAATGGCATGTTGATGCATGTGACGATGTTCCAAGGGATGCCGCGACACGTCACGGCATTCCATGGGATGCCGCGGCACGCCGCTGCATCACTTGAAACGCATAGGTTACATTATGCTGTTAAAGAAATCTAAGTGCTAATTAATTGAAACAAGGTACATATGGTCTGACACAACTGGTTACTTCGCCTACGCGGATTCCAGATGTTGAGGATTATGCACCTTCCCTGTTGGACCTTCTGCTGACCTAACCTGACGGATATCAGATTTCAGACGCCCCTTTAGGCTCCTCGGACCATTGTCTTGTCCGGAGTGTGGCGCCATTCACGCTGAAATCGCAGTTGCATTCGGCAGGCTTCCGCCGTGTTTGGCACTATAGGTCAGCCGATTGAGATTGCATGCGGTCTTTCTTTGCATTCTACCCTTGGCGGATTTGCGTCTCGCCGGACGATCCCAACGTTTGTTGCGGATTCTGTCGATGATGTGG